TTACTCCCAGAATCAGTTTTTTTAGAAGCTGGGGGTAGCGGCTTCTGAAAACTGATTCTGATTCTGCTTCTGCTTTAAAAAAGAAGAAGAATCAGTTCCAAACACCCCCTATGTATCACATTATGTTTGGGTATTATACTTGAAACATTAGTTATTCTACATTTAGCCTGCTTCTCGGTATTCGCGTATTGACCCCTTCAGGCCCCCCACCATTTTCAGGTTGAAGCTAGAATTTGCTACATGCACCATTCAATCGGGTGAAGTCATTTCAAGGAAGACGTGATTCGTGCTTCCATATTTTCTTTAAACTACAAACACTTGCTCATGGATATTTGAATTACTATAAACTATTTTGGGCCTGCGAGCCCATGTTTTGCCCGAATGTGGCCCATGACTTACCGTTGAATATTTCCGTTACTCATTAGTTTAAATGTGATGCTGTTATGTATGTTTACTTACCGAGATGGTATTGACTATGTTCATGGACGCCTTGTTTGATTAAGTGAGGTTGACTTGTGACTGATGTCACTTAATCATACAGCGGTTGTACACGCGCTTAGATGCGGTTCGGGGCGTGACACAACCGCAACCCGATCCTCAAGCCCATCAATATACTCCATTTGAGCAAAAAATGCTTAACAACATGAACACCCTCAACCTCAACTACACTCAACCGGAAGTTGGTCATTATAAGGAGGAGCAATGACAATGTTTTCAAAGGGTATGTACCTATACCCGGTCGGGTATCCGGCCCGAGGTGTTCAAAACACCTATAAATAGCACACTTTTTCTTCACAATTATCACTCATTCTTCCATACACTTAAGCTCTACTTAGAATAATAATTTCTTATATTTTTCTAGCATTGTTTAGTCTCCAAATGAGGACCTAAACTTTCATTTTTTGGTTTTGCTCTTGAAGTTTGTTGAATGTTAAAGTTGTGAGTTGTTTTCTTGACATTTTCTCTTGAATATTAATTCTTCCCTTAATCTTATTTATATATTAATGTTGGGGTGTTACTAAATGATGATTAGTTAATGCTTCAACATTAATTATTACTAGAAACGATCAATGAATCGATGGTTAATTATCGATGGTTTCGAAAGTAAGTAACTTCGGGTTATTAATGCACGATCGTGTTTAATAACCTTAAGAGGAATTAATTGTGTTAGTTAAACCAAAACCTTTGTGTTGAGGTCATCAATCTCAATTGATTTCATCAAGGAGTTAAAAAGTTTAAATGCTACTATTAAGTCGATATATGACGGCTATTAAGTCGATATATGACGGTGTTCTATATTTGGCTAATAATAAGAGTTGTTAATGAATGGTCTCATCATGAATAATTACCCTTGATGAATTGGATATACTCCTCGATTGATTATTCAAGAGGAAGATAGCTAAAGATATAACTGGGATCGACTAACATTAGCCCTTCAAGTATACGTCAAAGCGCCAATGTGCAACGACGATTAGGTTTAGCTTAGTTGTACACCATGTCTACTTCTTGCATAGAGATAGGTGATAGTCCCTTTTAAGTGTCTCGCTGGATTTTCTCTCTCCTAAGAATAGCCCGAAACCTCTGAAAAACATTAAGCCGTTGTCAGGTTGTTCCAATCTCTCAAAGAAAGGACCATGTTCACCATTCACCTCCACCTCCACAAGTCCTTCATATCAGAGGCAAAAGTATTTGTGTGTGTTGCGTTGACTTTAAAGATGTTTTGATTAATTTTTGTGAATATTTATAACCAGTGCACAAAGAAATAGTTTAGGGAAGCATTCACTTGAGTTAAAGTTTGTCTTTTATGTAAATATATGTTTAACTACCTGTGGCCTTGATGTTGTTTGATGTCATGCGATGATTATCGTAAGACCCAATGTTCAGTTTGCCTGAGAACAAACAAAGACTTAAGTGTGGGAGAGTTGATAAGTTCATATTTTGACATGCATTTCTTGTGTATTGGGATTGGTTTTTATTAGTCTTCATAACTTAAATGTGTCACAAAGTGTCAAATTAGCTCAAGTCAAAATTCACCGGGTTTTGGTTTGCATTTGGTGTTCTTAAAATCAGGAAATTAAGTCTGGCACCGGCGTTGGAGAATTATCCAAGATTGTTGGTCCCGCTTGTACAAGAAACAGTCTAGAGGGGGGGGGGGGGGGGGGTGAATAGACTGTTCTGATTTTTTAAATTCTTGTGAGTCAAAGGATATGTCTCACATAGTAGGTCAAGTTCTTGTCACCCGGGATGCTCTTCCTAGTTTTATGATGACTGGCCTTTTTCATTGAGTTTCCTTGAAATATCACCACTTCACTCCAGTTACTTTCAGGTGTCCTTAAATAAGAAGATTTCTTTGAAAGATTTAAAGATTTTCTCCAACATTCTCCGTGATAGATGGAAAAGTGATGCTTCCGAAGTTGTTGAAGTACTGGAGGGAACTTTCTTTTTGAGTTGGATTGAAGGATATGAATATTTGCTTGATCTATTGTGATGGATATGGAGGATGAGCTCGCAAGGGAATTTTTGCTCGCTTGATTTCAAAAGATAAAGTTATCTTTCCAGTCCTTCGAGGTGTATCTTATATACTGAAAGATGTCTTCCCGTTAGAGTGTAAAGAACATCTTCATTAAATGCATCAACAGTTGATTTGACCGGTTGGTTCCCGCAAAGTAGTCAACTTACTATTTTGGGGAGTATTAAATAATATTCGCCTGTATTCTTCAGTCAATCATGCTCTTTAAATATCTCAACGAGTGGAGCGCATTAAACGTGCATTTAATGCGTTGAGCAGTAGTGCTTCTGTTGGGAGGCTCCTAATCGTTAGGGAATTTCCCGCTAGATTAACGACTTAGGTAGATTTGTCCAAGGCCTAGAAGTTCTGGGAGCTATTCTGTAGAACACTGAGTCTTCATTAGTCTCTGAGCATTTCTGGTTCGAATAGCAAGACAGAAGACCTTGGCAGTTCTGCTCCGTCGAATACTCTAAATACTTACAATAGAAAATTTATAACACAATTTTCTAAAGGGGTACTCTAACATCCTAATACGCTAGCGTCATCAAAATCTAAATACAGTTTATTCCTTACAAAGACGAATTGATACACTTTTGAGAGTCAGTGAGAAGTATGAAGGTCCATAGTCATTAAAGGAGTAATTTTGAAGTCAACGGAGCTCAAGAATCAAGTACAAGATCGAACGGGGACGAATACATGGTCATATAACTTGAAAACGGTGATCGGGGTGACGTTCTGTCAATCATTCAAGCATACCGTTTTCGTAAAAACAAAAAATGACACGATTCAAGTTTCATATATAAGATAACTTAAAGAGATACAAATCATATGAAGGCACCATGACGGGAATGTGAGAGGATCAAAGTGAAAACAGACGAGGAAGTCAGATAGTTGTTGTTTGGATTTCAGGATGCGACCTTCCATCATTTTGTCCATATCGTTTGGTTGGATGATCCAATCCCAGTTTTGCAAGTTATGGTGGGTAAATGTTTTCATTAGCTGAAACTTTTGTGAAGAAAGCATACTTTTGTCCATAGAAAACATAGTTTAACGCGCGTCGTGCGCCTAAGAAGAAATCACGCAGAGGCTACTGGAGCAATTTTTCGCAATTTTGTTCCGGACACACAAACGCCACACAAACCGTGTGTGGGCTTTAAGAGTCCTTTTCGGCCATAATTCTTCCGTTTTGTAGGAGAGAGCTTAGAGAGAGCGCCTAGCACGAATTGTGAGAGCTTCTCAACATTGGATCTTTAATATTTTGAGATTATTTGTATGTTCTATTTTTAGGGGTATTTGGAATTGATTGTACTTCTGCTTTAAAGAATAAGCAGAAGTAGAATCACAATCAATTTTCAGAAGCTGACCCCCAGCTTCTAAAAAACTGCTTCTAAGAGTAATTAGAGCACCATAAGTACTTCTACATTTTCACCCAAACACTCCAACTTATACTTTTGTTCTCTGAAAGAGTAAAATCAGTTTTAAGAATCGGATCTAAACAGCATCCCATTAATTAATGACAATTAATACTTTCTTCTCAATTATGTTGATATGTCAATTATGAATTGTGAGTATATTGATTTGCCAATATTGTGCGTGTGTGTGTATATATATATATATATATATATATATATATATATATATATATATATATATATATATATATATATATATATATTATACAACAACAAACAACAACAATGTTGTTGTTGTATTGTATATATATAAAACAATATATATATATATATATATATATATATATATATATAAAATAAAGTTTGATGAGTTACATATTTTTTTAGATTCCGTTTTTTCTGAAGTAAATCCAAGCGCTAAATTATACGTAGTAATAGTTCCATGGTTAAAATATTTATGTCTATATTTTTGAGTTACTTTTTTCAAAAAAAAAAGATCTGAAGCAACAAAAAAACTCCGAATTCATTAATTTTCACATTAGAATGTTTGAATTTTCAAATCATAATTATTGGTAAAATAGGATTATCTGTGTAATAAAAAATGCAAGATTTTACGCATTTAATTAAAAAAATATGTTGAAGGCTGCAAAAAAGAATTGAATGAATGAATATGTAGTACGGGAGTATAGACTATAAAGATTTAGAGTTCGTTTGGTAACACTAAAATTGGCTGATTCTGCTGAAATTTATGAAATTCTGGTTGAAGTGGCTGTATTGGCTGATTCTGCTGATTCATGAAAAAATTATATTTAAAATATTTGTTATTAATAAATTAAATAACAAATTATATGAAAAAATAGTTAAAATGATCCTCTACAGTAACTTCAGTCAATACAGACAAAAAAGTAACTCCAACCTTACTTTTTCTGCTTATTACAAAATTCAGCACGCGAAATAAAAAGTTATGTGTTTGGTGAAAAAGCTGGGTGATACCTGATAAAACGAAAAAAGGGTTACTAAACGGGGTCAGAGTACATTTTTTTTGTTGAAGAAACACTTTCTACAATTTCTGGAAACATTATCTTAAATGAGGTGGCATATGGTAGCAGCGCCACGTGATACCACTGCAACTGTTGCGCGCGCAGTCTGTAAACCAGTACACATCTCCTTCACAAGTTTAGAGGAAGAAGAAACACTCGGAGGAGATGCCCACAATCTGTCATCGTTTTCCATGTGATCTTTCTCCTCTGGCCACCCAATACTACAACACACTACGTTTCACTCGAAGTAGTTCAATTCCGAATCCCATAAATCGCAGGCGCAGGATCATCACACTCTCCACATCCTCAGCTCCGGGAGATGTCGACTTGAATCCTCTGGTGTCTGCCCTGTCAAAGGTGCGTGCCACCTTTCTCTCTCCATTCGCTGTTCCCATTATTATTAACAGCTTTTGTTGTGTTCTGCTTAGAAAAGTCGAATCCCCCAGTTTCACGCCGGTTTAAAACGGAGTGATTACTGAATTGAGAGCCCAGTGCTTATATGATGGGGACGGTGAGCACATTTTTAAAGCATATAGCCGACACATAGCTAACTGTTCTTCGCCTTTTACCTAAAAGTGTGCGATTTTTATAGGCTTTCCCGTAAAACATCTGAAGCCCATTCAGTTATAGTCCAAGACTCCAAGAGTTTTTTAAAGTTCACAATCCATAGTCTTGTTATTTGTTTTTTCTTGTAATCTTTTTATCACGTTTGTGTGAAGCAGAAAGATAGTCAAGCTGTGGAGGAGGCACTTGATGAACTGGGCAAAGTCGGTTGGGCTAAAAGATGGAGCTCTCAGCCATATGTTTCTCGCCGCACGGTCAGTGAACTCTGTGCTGCCTTGGACATTTTTATAAACATTAGAATACAAAAGTTGTAGAAGGACATTATTAATACTGTGTAATTTCAACGTGCACTTGGATTTATTCATTAGAATTTCTATTGCAGACATATGTTCGAGAGCTCACATCACTGGGGATGAAAAATGCTGAGAATCTTGCAATTCCAAGTGTTCGAAATGATGTATGTTGCAATAAAACTTGTGTTTGCATATTTCAGCTAGTTGCAGGGTGGGCTCATTATCAGTTTCAAAATCAACCTCAACTAGTCCTTGACTATCAGTTTCATACCCATTTCATTCCTCCACTCGAGTTAATTTGCAATTTCGAAGCAATGCTTTTATATTGTTCCATTAATGAGACAATGAATGGCTTGTTGCTGTAAACAGTAAAAATGGTATTGTTTTTTGCTAAAAACGTGAAATGATATTATTTTACTATGTTAAAATGCTCTACTTTTGTCTGCAACTCTACATAAGTCAGCTTGGGCTTTGAACTTAAATAAGTTCAGGCGAACGTGTCCTAAAGTTATACTCGGAGTGTCCTAAAGTTATACTCGGAGTGCCGAAAGTGACACACTTCCCTTATGAAGATACTTTCCTTTGATGACATATTGCATCTGTGTGTGGTGATCATTTTCTTTCGTGTGTTATGAGATTGATTTCTGACTGATGCAGGCTGCATTTCTCTTCACAGTGGTAGGAACTACAGGGTTTTTGGGTGTTCTTGCTGGTCAACTCCCTGGGGTAACCTCTACTCTACTATCTCCAAAAACATCTCTTTCTTTTCCTTGAGTCCATATTTCTTTTTATTTATAAAACTTCAAATATATATGAAAGCCTTAATGGATATGACGTCTAGAGTGAAATATGCTTTAGATTATTCGATAACTCTAATATTTATAATGCACTGTAGTTAATCAGAATGCAATAAAGTTAAAGTGTTAATGAGAATAGGACTGTTAACACATGGAAATTTCTAATGTTATTGAGCTCAAAACTTTGAATTTTTGGTGATTTTAAGCTAGTCGTTTATACTTGACATAGTTTGGTCAACTATTTATGTTTCCAGGATTGGGGTTTTTTTGTACCCTATTTGGTCGGGAGCATTTCCCTGATTGTTTTGGCTGTTGGAAGCGTTTCCCCCGGGTAAGTTAAAAATATAAAACGTACTACCCTGTTCAAAAAATAAATAAATTAAAAAGGTTCATGTTTGTAATCTAATACTAAAAACGTAGACTTTGTTATTTTTAAATCATGGTGTAGGCTTCTCCAGGCAGCCATTGATGGGTTTTCCTCATTTTTCCCTGACTACAAGGATAGGATCACTAGTCATGAAGCAGCTCACTTCTTAGGTGATGTATCATCTTTAGAATAAGGCTAATACCTATTATGATATCTGAAGTTGCATAACAAGACTGTGAACTGTTGGTGCCAGTTTTTGCATTTTTAGCATCATTTCTGTTTTCATGTTCAGTTTTTTCCCTCTAAATACAATCCTCCCTTCATCCCTTAACTATAAAAGTCAAAGTAGCGGAGTGGTCTTTTTACCTTAATGGATTTGGGCTTCACTGGTTTTATTGGACCAATATCTCAATACTATTCATTCTGTCTCACTGTTGCGCTACTTAACTCGAGTTATACTTGCCAGTTGCCACTGCATACCCATCAATGTGACAAGGATCGTGTGACATTGAATTTCAGTGGCATACTTAATTGGCATTCCCATCCTTGGCTACTCGCTTGATATTGGGAAAGAGCATGTCAATCTCATTGATGAGAGGCTGGAAAAGCTGATATATAGTGGACAACTTGATTCAAAAGAATTAGACAGGTGCCCAAGTGCCCAACTCATTACTCAAAGTATCTCTTTTATTTTTTATGTTTGTTTCTCGCTGTGTAACTCATTGCCTTTGTAGGTTTTTTGTTTTTTGTAAAATACTGACACTAACTGCCATAAAAAATGGGTTGCGTCCGTAAGAGAATTCAGAATTGGATTGCGTCATTGTACTTGAGCATAAGACATTTCAGCCAAACCTTACTAAAGATTGAATTCGACCTATTGAGTATTAATTAATTCAACTGAAGGTCTTATTAAGACATCACTGACACTGACAGACAATTTTGAATCTAACTAGTTGACATCAAGATATTGTGATATAATTGATGATTGAGTTGGGTCACTAACTAGATCATAGCACACTTTGTCAAACAACACTAAATGATTGAATCTAATTTATTTTCAGGTTTAGTCCATGATCTTATCTCGCCAACGGGCGGATTTCGAAAATTATGTTGGACTAGGTTGAAGAGGGAAATGCTACATTACTTTTCTCTCTCGAAAAATTAGGTTATACTTCCAAATATTAAATTTTGTACAGAGTAATTAACATATTCACCAAAAACTATCATATTTCGTCAAACGACACAATTTTAATTTTAGTAACATTAGAATATAATTTTTGTTCAACTAAATTAACCTATTTAGCTTGATTCGACACTAAGAATTCATGAACCTTAGTAAAACACTTGACTTCATTGTCTGTATTTAACTTTTTCGGACAATAATAAGCCTTCACTATTTTTTAAACGGATAAAGTTCATATATATAATTTTGCGTTTGTGTTTATATAATGAAATTGTATAGCATTTGTACATATAATAATGCTTAGGGGGGCTTATTACCTCATTTATTACGCATATGGAAGTATTATTTTATATCGAATTTTTCGGATTATGGAATAGATTGTAAATTTAGTTGGTATCTCTTCCCTTAATAATGTAACGGACAACATTTTTTCAAATTTCATCCTTTAGTGTGCAACATGTTATGAATATTGTCCTCAACTGCACAATTAGTTTCTACATAAATAACGGCACAGACTATATTTAAGCTATGATATTTGCAAAAATTAAAAGACATTGATTATATTCCTATATGAGAATTAAATGAGGGACTAAAAGTGTGGCTTTTCCTAATGTTGATAGATAAAATTTGATATGCGAATATCTCAATATTTGAATTCAATACACATATATTCATATTTGTATTTAAAAGTACATCAAATCAAATATATGTTCATATTTGGATTTGTATCTGAATATTTTGAGTTAGAATCGCCAATCGAATCAATATGTATGAATCGTTTACAACCCTAATCTCAGTCCTTGAGTTCCTTTTTTATGTCATTTTGTTTTTTACTCAGCATTAAAGTAATTATCTTGATGGATTTTCTATTAAATTGAATGCTATAACAATATGAATCCATCATATCTGAAATGTATTATTGAGGGAGAATGGTAATGGAAATTCCCAGGCTAGCAGTTGTAGCAATGGCCGGCTTGGCTGCAGAAGGTCTAAAGTACAATAGTGTGCTGGGGCAATCAGCAGATCTCTTCACTCTTCAGGTCTATTGTCTTTATTTCTCCATGTCTTTGTTGTAGTATTTGGTCCACAGCTCCTCAATTACCATGGAACCCTAACTCTTAATGTTAAACAATAATGTTGACCTTTTCAGATGAATAGTCTTAATATGGTATTAGTGCTATATTCATTGTGGTTATATTTTTTGTTTAACATCCATCATTTAGGGTAGCCTGTTTAAGGTATATTTAGCACATGATCTGCCTATGAAGTCATCCTGTCTCATTTTGGTCAAAGAGACTTGTTGAATTATGTGTCTCATACCTCTCACATCACCTCTTGCATCAGCCTATGTCTCGAATGTTTTGTGTGTGTTCTTTTTTCCAATCTGAAATTGTTGTCTTTCTTTTTGTGTCTGACAGAGGCTTATAAACAGGAGCAAGCCGACACTTAACAAAGAGCAACAACAAAATCTGACTAGATGGGCAGTAATGCTTGTGTTAAATTTGCATTAGAAATATTTAGCTTTTGCTTTTGTACATTTTGTCATTTTAGTTGAAGGACGTTTTTCAAGTGGTTAATTTGGGGAAGGCTATATGTTGCAGGTTCTATTTGCGGGCTCACTGATTAAGAATAATACAGGGGTTCATGAAGACTTGATGGCAGCCATGTCCAAGAACGCGTCAGTAATAGAATGCATAGAGACTATTGAGAATGCTGCGGTTGGTTGAGTTGTTTCTTTGTGTGCGCGAACACATACATTGATACACATGCACTTTTTACAAACGCACGACCACACCATAAATTGAGAGTGGGTCCCCTTGCTATATACCCAATGAAGAAAAAAGATAAACCTTAATCTTGAATAATATTGTGTTTTTCCAAACTATCCTAGGATGTGGGTGCTTCGGTAGGTGGGGCGACGACCAGGGTATAACTTGCTCACGTCTCATTACTTGAATCAAATAACTATTTTCACTACATTTGGGTTGTCATCTCTATGCTCGGAGATGGTGTAGAATATGCACAGGCGTGTTGCATTTTATGCATATGAGTGGTGATTATTTTACTTGGTCCGTAATTGGATGGGATGTGCCACCCCAACTCTTAGGGATGTGCCAAATATGCGTGAGCCAGGTGAAGGTTGAGGTATAATATGTGCTGAGATCGCGCCGTGTGATATGGTATGTGCAATCACATAGATTTAGAGGCCCCGGTTCCAATGCTCGTTTGATACTATACAGAGTATAGATGTATAATAACAAAATAATTCTCACCCCAAACGTTTCTTTTCAAATTATATCAATAAATAATTAATATTTGATCCGTCCCTTATTACTTTAGCATTTTCCCTTTTTGATTTTGGTTACGTTGTTCCAAAAACATGGTTACTTTTCTTTAATCAAATAATTTGTTGTCATTGTAATTAAGTTTTTCTCATTTATATAAATCTTAATGACACAATTTTCACTTTGTTATTTTTCTTGCCAGCTAAACTTGTTATAAAATACTATCTCCATCCCCCTAAATTTGAGACAAAGAGGTGTGACGTGGTATTTAAAAAAAATGGAATTGTGTGGTTAGTAATAAATTGATATAGTGTAAATAAAGTGAGAATGAATAGTAGTCACTCAAATATTATTAAATACTCCGTACTACATATGATATGAGACAAACTTATTGAACGGACGAAAAAAGTGAAACGAGACAAAGTTAGGGAACGAATGGAGTAATAAACTAATAACCACACACCAATTTCCAAATATGGGAGTGGCCTCTGGGGCTCTGCATAGAGAAATCATCTCATCAGGCCGGCCTGACGGGCTGCCCCGTCCGGCCGAGCCCGTTTGGACACCTTCCCGGTGGAATTTTTTGATGAAATTTTTTTAGCATGTTCCTCATCAAGTCTAGTTTGTCCATACCAAATTTCAGCTCAAAATTCGATCGGGAAGGTTGTCAAATGATTTTTGCAAGTTAACTGGTCCGGAAAATACATATTCCGGACCAGTTAACTTGCAAAAATCATTTGACGACCTTCCCGATCGAATTTTGAGCTGAAATTTGGTATGGACAAACTAGACTTGATGAGGAACATGCTCAAAAAATTTCATCAAAAAATTCCACCGGGAAGGTGCTCAAACGGGCTCGGCCGGACGGGGCAGCCCGTCAGGCCGGCCTGATGAGAAGAGCACTCGCTCTGCATAAACCTAATGGAAGGTTGACTGTATTAAGTTTTCAAAATGGGCCTCAAAGTAGTGCGCCTTAGTTATATATATATTTTGAGAAAATAATTTGGAATATGACCAAAAGATGTGGTCATTCTTAAAATATGATTAGATAGATCTTTATTTCTAAATTAATGGGTTTTATATGCATGATATACATTTTGATCTTATATTTTCTCTCTTGAATTCAATTCTTATTCTTATAGAATCATGTTTAAATTTGCTAGTCATATGTTAGGAACCCATGCATGTTTTAGTCATATTTAGGTAAATTTCCCTATTTTTTGTTAAAATTGTTGAAATAGATCCTTTAATATTTTATTTTCACAATTATGGAGCTGGAGTATAATTTATTACTCTTTCCGCTCTTTATTAAGGATTACATAAGTATCTTCATGGTATTTAAAAAGAAATAGTAGAATAATGTATAGTGTATAAAATTTTATCTTATAGTTAATGAAAATAGGAAATATAATGTATTAAGAAAAATAATTAATTGAATGGAAGAGAAAAGAAGAGAAAAGAAGAGAATTGAGGGTAGTGGGGGGAATTAAAAATGACTCGGTGAAGCATATTAAATGAGGATATTAAAAGCTAGGATGTGGAGATATTGTTATAGAAAACTTACTAATTACAATATGCGGTAAAAAAAAGTTACTAATATTATTCTTCGAAAATTGATGGACAAAAATGTGACTTGATAATTGTAGTGATCGACTATAATCTTGCTCAAAGTTAGTATGATATAAGCTTCAATAAAGAGAAAGAAAAGGAAAATACACAAAATGGGTAAACAGCTGTAAATTTATAGAATTGAAAATACAAATATGTATATAATCAAAGTTTATTCTACTTACAATAGTTGTTTAAAAAGTGTTAGTTGACTATTTTAGGGTAAGTAATACACAGTAATCATAAATTGAAACGGAACATAAATAACATACAGAGTAGGGATGGACTCGGGCCGGGCCAACCGGCCCGGAACCGGACCGGCCCGCTACTGTGCGGGCCCGGCCCGGCCCGGTGAACCGGTTCGTTCCCGGTTCGGGCCTCCCGGCCCGGTGGTAAAGCGGTCCGGGCCCGGGCCTCCAGTTTAGTGAACCGGCCCGGCCGGCCCGGGCCCGGTTCGGGACGGATTTTTTTTTTTTTTTTTGGAATTGTTTTTAAGTTTTGGGTTGGATTAGGTATTTTGGGCCATTTGAGGTGGTTTGGGGTGGTTTGGGGTGGAGAGGGAGGGGTAGGGGGTTAAATAAGAGAAGAAGAAAAAAAAATTAAAAATCCGGGTGGCCCGGCCCGGCCCGGCCCGGTCTGGCCCGGAACCGGACCCGGAACCGCCCACCACCGGTTCGGGCTCGGGCCCCTATTTTTCTGAACCGAGGTCCGGCCGGGCCCAGGCCCGAACCGGGCTCGAACCGGAACCGGTCCACCCCTAATACATAGTATAAACTTTGATACGGAGTATGAACTTTGATATTGAATGCTTTTATATTAGATACTACGTAGTATAATTTAAGATCAGCATGTGTGCACAAAAGCCACTGCTAGTTGTGCTTTATGTTTATTACTAGCGCGGTAACGCGCGTTGCGCGATATCCGTGCCCAACGCTAGGAAACAAAAAACAGATTAGTTGATATTGGTTTGACAATGATGATTAATAACTCTTGTTAACAAAGGAAGCAGATGAGGAGTCATAATATCAAGATCTCGTGAACAAAAAACATGAATCATAAGGGAAATACATAGTATATTTCAACTATTTTGCCAAATTATAGTAGACACTATGCGTGCTCAATAAATCACCCATATAAAGATACAAATCTGTTTCATATCACATATTTAATCGAAATAAATTGGTCCCATAAGTCAAATTTGTTTTTGATTTACCTGCTAACAAAAATAAACAGAGTAACTATCTTAACTACTTAGTTGGGGCAAGCGAATGATAGATAGTCATCACAGGAGAGTTTTTTTTTATTCTTTACTTGGCCACGCAGAATCCAAATCAAATCAACAGAGAAGTAACTCCCAAATATAATAGACACATCCTGAAATTAATATAAAAACTGATGTGAAAACTAACACAATTAAGAACTAAAATTGAGGACATAAACAATCACGTACTCGATGCAGATCTAATCACGTAGAACATTTTTTCAAAACAAGGAGCGCCACCTCTAGTCCACCTTCATTCTCACCCCCTTTCTAACTCCTGAATAAATAGTAGTTAGGTTTGCAAAAAGAAGAAAACATGCATGAATCAAAACCGCAGTACCTGAGCCATTGATATTAGTCATCTCATTATTAAAGAAGGCAAAATAAATCAAAATTGAAGCACCTATAATCCAACCGTTGAAACATCCTTCGCCTTTTCTGAATAAAAAAAGATTGAAGCAAAGCAAAGTCAAAATCAGTAGGAAAATGTCCTTCACTCATTAAAGGTTGCATTAATCAGTCTTATATATGTAAGAGGTCCCTGTTAATGCAATTAACAGACCACTCGTATGTGCAAACAAGAACAATATCACCTGAGTACAAGCACAATTTGATCGTTTGTATAGTATCAATATCAATGATCCGGCTATAAAGCTTTAAATGACAAATTAATAGATGAAATCACCCAACCTGAAAAAAGTGCAAATTTGAAGACTTTAGTCAACAATAAAAAACTAAACACCTAAAATTCTCAAATCAAATTTCATAAATTAATAAATAATTAAATATTTGAAATCATAACTATTAACTAAAAAGTAAATAATCACCAAAAAAAATACTAAAGCCACTTACACACTTAGGCAATACTGCAATAGGCAGTTAGGCACTACTCCACTACCGCACAGACATTTAGAATTTGAGAATTTCGTATTATCAATTTTACAATTTATCAGAAATCAATCAGATAAGAATAATTGTTAATTACCTGCGTACTAGGCGGACTGCCGGATTGGTGGAGGCGCGAAGCACGGGCAAGAACAGCCTCCAGACAGAGTTCCGAGTTGCGAGTTCAGAGTAGCGATTGGTGGACTTGCGAGACATCGAGAACTGGGATGCCAGAGCCGAGAAGGTGAAGTTTCAGGAATGCGAGGAGCCGAGGAGTTGTGAGGAGTGTTTTTAGCGTTCGGGACTTTTGAGGAAGACGATGTGTTGCACGAGGATTTTTCTTTTTTAATTTTGAGATAGGGTTGGCAGCGCTGCTTGAGAGGCGTGTCCGCGTGAGGAGTCGCAGGTTCTGGCCGTTTGGGTTTTGCTTTTGCGGAATAATAATTATTAGTACAGAGTATTATAATATATTAAAATTATAAAACATTACTACTCCGTATATACTAATACTAAAATTAAAAAAGATTGGGGCCCTCAATTTTGGTGGGCCCTATTCCAATGAACCTAATGAACCTGTCCAAAAACGGCCCTATGTGTGAGTCTTATTGAAAGATTATGCGAGGCAATTGAGACTATGTAGCGGAAGGAGATTTGCACTGCTTGCAAGAAATCGATTAGGGTGGAGTTTTGGAGATAATGAAATAGGTGATTACAATTTTTTGTGGTTGTAGGTTCATCATAGTGGACACTGTTAAAAAATAGATACTTTCCCTTTGTGACATCAACAGTAGCTGAAGGGAAAAGGCACCCCTTCTGGGCATGGGCGGAAGGAGATTTGCAGTGCTTGCAAGAAATCGATTAGGGTGGAGTTTTGGAGAGAATGAAATAGGTGATTACAATTTTTTGTGGTTGTATGGTTCATCATAGTGGACACTATTAAAAAATAGATACTTTCACTTTGTGACATCAACAGTAGCTGAAGGGAAAAGGCACCCCTTCTGGGCATGGGCAGATATGAGTCATATGACCAAATAGCATTTGTGACCAAACACTCCGGGGCTAAGAGTATCACCAATGGAGTAGCCTCTGCCGGTCTGCCCTCTAGTCTCATAAAAGAAAGTGTATTGACTAGATATTAAACTACCAAAGGAGCCTCCAATGCACAAATATCACGGCCCAATTTGGTGTCTACATGGAATTTAGTATGTACTCCGTCCCCTTTTAAATGTCCCGTTTTATCATATTGGAATGTCCTTATTTAATTGTCACATACCTTATTTTATAAAGTTTGTGTGGCTCAAAATCATTA